TACACCTCTGCCTACCCCTTCGAGGATAAAAGGCGTGATGTTATGTTGTGTTCAAAATGTACAAAAAAATGTTAGACGATGTATAGATTCATAATCATCATCATCAACTGCGGGTGAGAGTCCACTGTTGGACTATGAGCCTCCTCTACATAAGAGGGGTTTGTCATAATATCTACGCTAGACAGGCAGGTTGGAGATCGCAGTATAAAAGGTTCAGGTCTATCAGAGAGCGCTGCAGCCCGGTCTCTGTCAAATTTGTAGTCCCTTAGTCGGGTAGAGGACACCCCCGGGAAGAGTTGCTTTAGTAACAGAGACATTCTACATTGCTACACGTATTTGACACCAAAACATAATGGGTCACTTGGCTTGACAGTCTCTTAGTCGGGTATACGACACCCACGTGAAGAGTAGCGGTGATAACGATTATATTTTACTCCGCTATCAGCACACCTAATCAATATCCTACTAATATTATTATTAATGCAAAATTGTTTATGTCTGTCTGTTACTCCCGTCACGTCAAAATTGCTGAAGGGATCGGGGTGAAATTTGTAACAAGGGGTAGATTATGGTCTGGAATTACACATAGGGTACTTTTATACCAAGAGGACGCGGGCGAAGCAGCTGGTAGAAGGTTAGTTAAATTTAAAATTGTTCACCTCATGAGCTAAGTGAGGTACCTACTTAAGCTAACAACTCACACTTGACCAGTTTTTCTGATCACAAAGATATGACATAACAGTACCTAAATAAGTAGTCCACAAATGTCCAAATGATAATGTTGCTATTATGTAGGTATTAAAAATAAATTTGGTCAATTTCTCTTTTTTTTTTCGTCATTGCAACATTATGGTTCTGCGTGGTCGCTCTGGTATGCTAATGGTGTCGTTATGGCAAATTAGTTTTCTTTACCACAGAGTACAATATTATTGTCACCACCGCTACTCTTCCCGCGAGTGTCGTATACCCGATTAAAGGTCTACATTTGACAGAGACCGGGCAGCAGCGCTCTCTGATAAACCTGAACCTTTTATACTGCGATATAACTCTCACGAGCTGATGTTATTTCATAGCAGCTTAGCTCTCAAAAGTAATAGCTTGAATATAGTACTAACCAACCGGTTTAAGTACAACTTAGGTTCTAAGCTAGCTGTTAAGAAATCTAGGGCATTCATTAGGTCCCATTCACTGCAATCTAGTTTAAGCTAGGGATGTCTAACATTAAGTAATTTTATTTGATTGAGTAATTTTCAAGTTAGAAAAATAAAGTCGGTTCTCGGGATAAAAAATTATATAGGTATACAATAAAAGCATTACTTTTTTATAATAACTATCGTGAGACATACTAAACTAACTAAAAATCGCGGTTTACCCACGTATATACTGACAAAAGCTCTACTAGTTTTGAACCACAGAGGGTCTTTTATTATATAGCATAAGCCGGAAAACGAGCAGCCGGATCACCTGATGGTAAGCAATCGGCGTCGCCCATGGACACCTGGAACACCAAGGCGTTACCAAGTGCATTATCGGCCTTTTGGGAATAACGCTTTAACGCTTCTGGTGTTCCAGATGTCCATGGGCGACGCCGATTGCTTACCATCAGGTGATCCGTCTGCTCGTTTACCGGCTTATGCCATAAAAAATCTTTTATTTTATTTTCTACCTGCCAGCCATGCTTGTATTTACGAAGTACAATGTAAAGTTTACGTAAATGCCCCGCTAACGTTCAAGCCAGTTATCAGTTAGAGGGTCAGCACAATAGATTTGATTCTAAATCTACTTACTTAGATACAAACAGTACATCAAATGTAATCGATCTGAATGAGTGAATCAAAACAACCAAAATATTTTGATCGATGTAAGTTTTTTACAAAACCCCATAACATAACATCACGCGGTTAGACAGAGGTGCGCATTACGGCACTTAATGCCACTGTACAATGTAACACCCACTTTCCACTATTTATGTTATGAGTCCCATGTACATAATAGGAGTAAGCCTATTGCCATATACCGGGCATAATTTCAGACTCCGTACCCTGAAGGGTATAACCTGGGAGTCTTCAAGGCCGGACGTTGGACGACGTGCTCCACCGTAGACCGCATCATCGCTTACCACCAGGCGAGATAGTGGACAAACGTCGGCCCAACAAATATATTATAAACTAGCTGAGCTCGCGAATTCGTCAGCGTGGAACAGTCCTCACAGCTCCTCCCCCATAGTTGATAGCATGATAATATGTAGCCTATATGTTGACCCGACCTGTTAGTAATATTCATGCAAAATTTAAAATAAATCCATGCAGTACTTTTTGAGTTCATCCCGGACATACATACAGACAAACAGACAAAAATTCTAAAAAACATATTTTTGGTTTCGGTATCGACCGAATGTGTTGTTTTTTTAAGAGGATAAATTCATCGAATGACTGCTCCTTCCTAGGTGAGGCGGGAAGGAGTGTCAGACTCTTACTGACTAAAAACCACTCCGTTCCTACTCCTGCACTTCGAGCCGGAGCCGCGGCAACCCGTTAGGTTCTCCGCGGCTTTAAAAAATGTGTAACAGTACTTTTAATCACAATGCTTGCTCATGGCGGGTTGGCTCTTACGTGTGGGATGATAAATTAAAAGTAAACAAGAAGTATATAACTTTGTCTGTATGTATGCGTACCGTACACCCAGCAGTGTCATTTACACTGTGATATCAACACCAGCCCGCTTACTATCAAAACACCGGTACATTTACATCGACCGTTTTTAAAACAATTATGAATTCTGCTCGTTGGTGGTATCACTCCGGTTGAGCCGGCCCATTCGTGCCGAAGCATGGCTCTCCCCACTTAATAATTTACTTACAATAATTTTCGGAGAGCCTGTTCACCCGAAAATGAAAGTCATTACGTCAGTGGTATGCACATCTTCAAAATTCCAAAAATAAACTACAAAACAATAGCTAGATATTTAAATAATTTATTTTACGCACGAAACAGTAATCTGTCTGCGTGTCTATCACGGTCTAATCTCTAAAACGGCTGGCCGCTCGAAAGTGACCTGCTTATGAGATTTCATAATTGTTAAATGTCATATTGTATAAGATCTAGTGTTACTGTACAGTTCATATTTAGTAAATATACCGTCTACACTTTAATGCAAAGGATCAGCCACTAGCGATTATTTTTATCACTTTATAGAACCCATTATAACTCTAAAAAAATATTAATTATTATTTTCACAACAAAATGCTCTCATTTTACATAACATAAACAAACATCACGCCTTTTATCCCCGAAGGAGCACGCAGCGATGCACATTACGGCACTTAATGCCACTGTACGATGTAACACCCACTTTTCATTATTTATGTTATGAGTCCCATGTAAGAGGAAGTTAAGGAGTAGGAACGGGGTGGTTTTTAGTCAGTAAGAGTCTGACACTCCCTCCCGCCTCACCCAGGCGGAAGAAGTCATTTGTCAATTTCCCCCCCCTAAATCAAAACGTACGTCATAAGAATTATAACTTATAAGTACATAGCAATAAATAAAATAAGTTTAGCGTTACATAAGCAACGACCTTGTAAATCTAAGTTATTGCTTATTCATACACTTAAATAATACTTTAATGTGAAAGTGTTTGCGTGTTGGTTGCGTACTACGAAACAGCTGAGTCGAATTTGATGAGATCGATATAAAATATAGATTGAGTTTAGTGTGACGTCTAGTCAAGGTTTTTGGGTCAAGTGGGGTTTTAGGTGTTGTATATTGATTGTTGTTTGTAAAGGGGTAGGCAGAGAGTAAAGTGAAGTCAGTTTTATTCTGAATACAGGAATGCATTGTGATCACGCAATCAAGCAATGGAATTGTTTTAAAATTTTAAGAGCCATGCTTCGATATGAACGGTCCGGGTCACCGGAGTGATACCACGGCCTCTCATGTCTCGTCTGAGTGAAGTTACCAGAGCTTCAATTAATAATGGTGTGATGTTTCATAGCCTATAGCATTCCTCGATAAACGCAATATCCAACGCAAAAAGAATTACTCAAATAAGACCAGTAGTTCCATAGATAAGCGCAGTCAAATAAACGTCTTTTTTTATGGCATAAGCCGGTAAACGAGCAGACGGATCACCTGATGGTAAGCAATCGGCGTCGCCCATGGACACCTGGAACACTAGAGGCGTTACAAGTGCGTTACCGGCCTTTTGTGGATTAGGAGTTTGAGGATCGTTGGCGATTCAGGAATTGGGGGGATTGGGGAAGGGAAGGGTAATTGTGCCTCCGGTAACCTCACTCACACGACGAAACACAACGCAAGCGTTGCTTCACGTCGGTTTTCTGCTCGGCCGTGGTATCACTCCGGTCGAGCCGGCGCATTCGTGCCGAAGCATGGCTCTCCCACACTTAAACGATTCATCTTAGGTAAAAATATAGATAGAAAGAATGTATTTCGAAACACGTTGTGAAATTGACAAATAAGTAAGTATGTAAAGAAATACAAATAATTATGTAATAAATAATACCTATATATATGTACTTGCCGTACACAATTTATTACATATGTACAAATCAATACGCATTTATAAATATTCTGTAAAATAATCCTTTCTTGGCCTTGAATTATGAAAATTTCAAACGTGTACATTTTTATGTGTTTATTACGTAAATACATCATGATTAATATACTTCACTACATAGTATAAAACAAAGTCGCTATCCGCCGTCTGTCTGTCCCTATGTATGCTTAGATCTTTAAAACTACGCAACGGATTTTGATGCGGTTTTTTTTAATAGATAGAGTGATTCTTAGTATTAGGAGGATAGGATAGATACAGAAAAATAAATTTCGAAATATAAAAAAAAGGATATTAAATGACTTCAAAAAAGTGGTGAAAGTCAATTTTGAAACGTTGTCCATCTATTCGTTTTGTAGTCTGTGAATTTGTTTTATAACATGTAGTGTATGTGTTGGTGCCGATATTAAGCGCTCTCCTATTTGTTCCAGGGTTCGTGTTGGCCTCCGCAGTAGTGTTATTGCTACTGGGCATTGTCTGTGCCATATTCTTCGGAACATGGGTCCGGATGTTTATAGATCATGTGAGTATCAACGCTTCTGTTTTTCTTTCCTGGACTTTATCCTAGTACGATGTACGGTAATGCTTTTTTTTATAGTGTTACAGTTTAATTCTCCGCGGACTCTTGGTCCGTGCCCTTGTCATACAAATACATCTAGTCAATTTTTATAAAGTGAAGAAGGTACCTAGTTACATACGACAATTAACCACATCTATAATTATTACTAAAAGTATAAAATAATTACATAATCACGAAATCAGCCCACCTACAAGATGGGAGAGCCGACCTGACCGAGCAGAAGGCACCCGTTCACGAGTATGACGTGTGTGTCAGCAATTGGTCCGATCAACCTTTTTGTTGGGAACGGAACAACCCAACACACAGCGCCATCGTGAAGGACACACCGGGCGTCGGGGATCGCGAGACGATCTCCGGCCACCGTAAGCGCAGGCCTGTGGACGGCGAGCATGGGTGGCTCCCCGTCCGACCAGAAACAGACCCGAGCGTACGGCGCGTCGCGTTCCGCGCGCGCCTCAAAGAGCCATCAGACCACCACAGATGGGGCCCAATAGGGCCGATGCCGATTCGGAGCCGCGGAGAACCTATTAGGCTCGACGTGCAGGAGAAGGAACGGGGTGGTTTTTAGTCAGTAAGAGTCTGACACTCCCTCCCGCCTCACCCAGGCGGGAGCAGCCATTCGATGAATTTCCCCCCTTAAAAAAAACACACACAGCGCCACCGACATTTATGTGTGCATGACGCCTCAACCCTTGCCAAGTTGGTAATGCTTTTAACCAATACCAATATTTATGGCCAGAAGAAACGCTAATCGAATTTAATAGATAGTGGTCTAACGTCGGCCCATAAAATATAAAAAAGAAATAGAATATGCATGTCAATATTTTTATAATAACTATCGTGAGACATACTGTTTCAACCAAAAATAACGGTTGAATCACGCAAATACGCTGAGAAAATCTCTACTACTTTTTTTATGGGATAACCCGGTAAATAAGCAGATGGATCACCTGATGCGTCACAGCATGGGTGCCCACTGAAATCAGTGCTGGTTGACTTGTATGCCTGGCTTACACTGAGTCGGTGACCTATTTAGCATAGGCATGTTGTCAGCGTCTTTTTTTAATTCTTCTGTTTTAATTTTTTTACTTAATGTTTTTTTTTACTTCCACTGTCTTACATATATTGTCTTTTTTTATATTTTATTTATGCTGCATCGTGCCGGGTGCTGAATAAATGTTGTTTCTTTCTTCCTTCTTTCTTATAGTAAGCAATCGGCGTCGCCCATGGACACCTGAAACACCAGAGACGTTACAAGTGCGTTACCGGCCTTTTGGAATTTAGGAATTTGAGGATTGTTTGAGATTCAAGGATTGTGGAGATTGGGGAATGGGGGGAGGTGTATTTGAGTTCCCTGTAACTCACACGTCGAAACACAATGGAGTGTTGTTTCATATCAGTTTTCTGCTCGTTGGTGGTATCACTCCGGTATCATTGAGATTGGTTTCAAGAGCAAGCACCCAGGTCTAATTGAAATAAATAAATTTGACTATTTTGACTTTTATCCTACGTAAAGATGGGATTACTTCTCCAGGTTAAGATTAACTGCAATATTATGTATAGAGCATTGTATATCGACATAGGTAGACACAATGTTGTAAGACCGTGGGATCGAACCTGCGTACCTTGACCGGAATACCGCTATTGTGTCTAATATTGTTGCACTGTTTGGTGAACTACGATCACAAATTCACTTTTTATTTCAATCCAGACGTCTATTCTAAATCCCCAATCTCCAATTTCTAAGCCCTTTGTTTTTGGGTAGGGGAAAATCATCCAATGACTTCTCCCGCCCTGTGAGAGGCGAGAGAGTGTCAGACTCTTGCTGACTAAGGGTTCGTACATAAAACTGCGATGCGATGCGAAATCGCAACGCAAAAAAATACGACAAGGCATCTCCCAGGGTGACCATTCCTTCGACGACCGTCAACCGTACTAAACGTATTTTAAATTGAAAACTAGGTCGTGACATGGATCGTAAAAAGAATTGTGCACTTCTGTTATTGCCTAAGAGATACAGGAAAAAGACACGAAGAAGATTTTGGGAAGATAAGATATTGATGTGCGATGCGAATCAATTCGCAAGTTCTTGCGATGCTTAGAGGGAGCTCGCACATTTTTACGATGCCACGTCGCAGTTTAAAAGATACAGGTTTATCAGAGAGCGCTGCTGGGCGATTCTATACTCGGGTTTACGACACCCGCGGGAAGAGTAGCGCTGGAGACAAATATATTTAACTCTGTGGCACATATTAATGTTATGTCATTTATTTTCTCAGTACGGACGGACAGACAAACATAGTAACTATGTATGTATGTTAATATTAGTTCATACTGAACACACTTCCTGCCTACCCACTTCCTTCAAAGCACCTCAATGGTATCCGTCGTGTTGTAAGATTATTGCGTTTACGTATACAAACGGCTGCACATCGAACTAAACAATACCAGTATATCATGGTCTCGTTCTATATGATCTTTCCGTACATTTAACGGTCAGTTTATACTGGGTAACTATCGAGCTGTCCAAACCAGTTAATCTTGGTCTCGTTGTATATAACCTTTGTGCACATTGAAAGATCAATTTACATTGGTTTTGCATATTCCGAGTCACAATTCTCAAAGCCCTAGAGGCTAACTCCCAAAAAAATTGGCAACACACTTGTGACTCTTCTGGTGTTGCGGGTGTCCATGGACGTCGATTGCTTACCATCAGGTGATCCGGCCGTTCGTATACCATAAAAAAGCCACAACAGATGGGGCCACAATAGGGCTGATGCCGATTTGGAGCCGCGGAGGACTTAACGGGTTACCGTGGCTCCGGCTGGAAGTGCAGGAGAAGGAACGTCGTAGTTTTTAGTCAGTAAGAGTCTGACACTCCCTCCCGCCTCACCCGAGCGGTGGTAAGAGCCATTCGATGATATTCCCCCTTAAATAAAAATACCATAAAAATAGTTTCCGTGTCACAAGTAAGAGCGTTTAACTGAAGAAAATCAATATTAAGTCTCTCATCAGTATCAACAGCTGCTTTATTTCAAAAGCCTGTAACATTCAACCTCGCGTTGTGTAGTCATTGGCGGAGAACTAATTAAGTGTGGGAGAGCCATGCTTCGGCTCGAATGGGCCGGCTCGACCGGAGTGATACCACCAACGAGCAGAAAACTGACGTGAAGCAACGCTTGCGTTGTGTTTCGTCGCGTGAATGAGGTTACCGGAGGCCCAATTACACGTCCCCCCTTCCCAAATCTTCACAATCCTTGAATCCTAAGAATACTTAAATTCCTATTACCCAAAAGGTCGATAACGCACTTGTAACGCCTCTGGTCTTCCAGGTGTCCATGGGCGACGCTGATTGCTTACCATCAGGTGATCCGTCTGCTCGTTTACCAGCTTATCCCATAAAAAAGGACTGTGTGAGACAGTGAACAGTACGTGGCTGATTATGATGACATTATAGAAGCCCAAATCCGAATGCAGCGCCATCTGTACAAAAAAAAAGAACAGTTTTGCAAATATTCTTGTTAACGCTATAATAATAAAAATGTATGTAATTTCATGCAAATTGTATGTAGTTAATTAATAATACATGCGAACTGAGTTCCCACGCGAATAAATACTATCGTAATTAACCATACATACACACATACATACAAATATATGAAACGAACGGTAATCTTAAGTCACTATTTTGAGATAACACGCAATTTTCAAACGCTTATTTTTATATTACACGAAAAGTAGTAAATAAGACTCTTCTGTTGATGAATGAATATGAACACAACATTCAAAAGGCTAAAACGAAAAGCCCCTAGAGACCTGTAAGGGATGAATTCTAAAGGGCCCACGTCGCTGGACTGGTGACCCTACAAGACAAATTAAATTAAACTCTTCACCAAGTGCTGAATGTTCGTTAGAAACAGATTGCAGAACAATATAGAGGTATATAAAAAAAAAATATATATGTACCGCGGCAGATAAAAACTATATCCTATTTATATTAAATCTCATCAACAGCCTATATGTCCACTGCTGTTGGCTGATGCCGCTTCGGATTCGCGGAGAACCTAACAGGTTACCGGGGCTCCGGCTCGAAGTGCAGGAGAAGGAACAGGGTGGTTTTAGTTAATAAGAGTCTGACACTCCCTCCCGCCTCACCCAGACGGGAGCAGTCATTCGATGATTATCAATCCTTAAAAAAAATATACCATCACCAAACAGCAAAACTAATACTTTAAACTGTATAATTTATCTGTGATATATGCACATAACTGAAACCCAAGTAAAGCTTTACTCAAACTCAATGACATTGAACGACTGGTGACTGGCTAAATCGCCTTCACTGCACCGCGAGAGGAAACAGAATTACGCGCGCCATTTTAGTGATTGTTGGCACAACTTAAAATGGCAGTTTCAAAGAAAGAATCAAGTTTAATAGTAGGTTTTTGAGTAGATTTCTGTAGCACTGTGTGTATTAAATGTAATTTAAGTTTTTGTTTGTTTTATTATAAGATACATGTACTGTATATGATTTTATTTTATTTCGTTTTTGTTATATTTGATGGGCCGTTGTTTGACTATCTCGTCTGGTGTTAAATGATGCGGTCTACGATGGAGCACGTCGTCCCATAAGCAACCTATTCACTCGGGACTTGAAGACACCCAGGTTATACCCTTCAGGAAATACAGACTCTGGCAAAAAAATCCACTACTTAGCAGTACGCACAGGGAAGCTTGATGCGAAGCGCTTCGCTTACTGGCCAGCAAAATTGGGATTTCGAAAAAAAATTATCGAAAATACAAAAACGATGCTTTTTCAATCATATACATTTTTTTGAGGGGGAAAATCATCCAATGGCTGCTCCCGCCTTGTAGTGTCAGACCTTACTGACTATAAACCACCCCGTTCCTACTCCTGCACTTCGAGCCGGAGCCCTGGTAACCCGTTAGGCCTTCCGTGGACACTCCCTGAAGGTTCCAAAATGATACGTTCACGTTCGAAGCCTTTGTTTAATAGTGGATGTAGTACCGTCATTATATACACAATTAAAGAACAATAGGTTGCGGTCACCGATGTCCTCCCGGTATTTGTCACTTTAAGATGTCTTTCGACTGATGATGATCATGTACTATTTTCAAGTTCAAACGCAGTTTACAATGCTCTCTGACACCGAAACTCTCCAATGAGGTCATTTTAGAAAATTTTAACCGACTTCAAAAGAAGAAGGACCACTTTAATATAGATGTATGTAGGTACGTCTGCAGTTATTTACCGATTAGCTCAACCCATATTGATGCAGTTTACTGAAAAATGTTTATTGCCCTTAAGATGTTATATCATTATAAATGACTTTATAAATAAAATTCTTAATGTCACATTATTACGGCTGTATGTATTTATACATCGTCCGTGATTGTTGATTATCTGCCACTGAACCACCTTTCCCTCCTCAGGAGCTGATCCTCCGCCCCGGCTCGATGACCTTCGAGTGGTGGGCGAGACCCCCGGTGCGACCGTTTGTCAAGGTCTACGTGTACAACGTGACCAATGCTGATGAGTTCCTCAATAATGGATCCAAACCGATCCTTGATGAGCTGGGACCTTATGTTTACTCGTAAGTATCTATATTACATTACTTAACCTGCTGACTGCCTCGTTGCCCTCGTTCACAAGTGCGACTGCTGGGCATGAGGTCTCGGGTCCGATTCCCGGGTCGGGCATTAATACTGGGTCTTTTAAGAAAGATCTCGGTAGTAGCACGGAGTTTGGAATTGTGCCCGGTATATGGCAATAGACTCACCCCCTATTACATGGGACTCATAACATAAATAGTGAAAAGTGGGTGTTATATTGTACAGTGGCATCAACTGCCGTAATGTACAATTGTGCACCTCTGCCTATCCCTATGTTATAATGTTGTGTTAAACCTGCTTAATACAAAAAAGAATTCAAAGAACAGACGTATCACCTGATGGGAAGCAAGGGGCGCCGTCTGTGGACACTTGGAACACTGGAAGAGTTACAAGTGCGCTGGCTGCCTTTTGGGGGCAGAGACTTGGGGATTCCTAGAGGCTTTGCACTGTAGGAGATCTGGGGCAGGTCTGTTAGAGGATCAGGTGTCCCCTATAGGTGCTGAGAATGGCCATCGGAGTGGTTTTAGAGAGATACAAATCCCACACTCCCTCCCAAAAAGCAAGGTGCCATTTAAAGATTAGGGATTGGAGGATTGAGGAGATTTGGGAGATGGTAATTGGGCCTTCAAATGGCAAAACAAAATTCTACAGTGATGGTGATTAAAAAAGAGTGATAAAGGAGTTTCTTGCTAGTTCTTCTCCAGAGAACATACACTATCAAAAAATCCTATGATAGTAAAGCGGCAAAGCTTATACACCATTTGAATCATCTAAAACTCTTTTCTCTTTCCCAGGGAAGAATGGGAGAAGGTGAATATCACGGACAACGAGAATGGAACCCTTTCATTCCACTACAAGAGGACTTACACCTTCCAACCAGAACTCAGCAGGGGCATGGATGATGATGCTGTAGTGGTTCCGAACATACCTATGTTGGTAAGTACCTAGAACTTAGCATCTACACTACATGAGCTGCTGTTTACATGTGAACATTAGCTCATGACGATACCTAAGTACGTGTGTCGCCTGGACAGTCAACCTCGCTACATCCTTGTTGACTGGACATCTACACTACATGAGCTGCTGTTTACATGTGAACATTAGCTCATGACGATACCTAAGTACGTGTGTCGCCTGGACAGTCAACCTCGCTACATCCTTGTTGACTGGACATCTACACTACATGAGCTGCTGTTTACATGTGAACATTAGCTCATGACGATACCTAAGTACGTGTGTCGCCTGGACAGTCAACCTCGCTACATCCTTGTTGACTGGACATCTACACTACATGAGCTTCTGGCTGCTGTTTACATGTGAACATTAGCTCATGACGATACCTAAGTACGTGTGTCGCCTGGACAGTCAACTTTCATATCCTTGTGGGTAAACAGTGACGAATTTTTATGACCAGAAACCCAATAATAGTTTTCTTGAGTTCCTTCTTGTTATTTATGTACACAACAAAGGGTGAAGAATTTTGGAAAACAAGTTTTTTTTATATCTTCTCTTCCGCTACCTCGTTTCGTATTCAAAGTGTTTTTTCTTAAGGTCGTCAAGTCGGTTCAAGGCAGTGTCGTTGACATTGTATACAGCTTATGTGAATTGATCTTTTATTGAACGTTGGTTAAGATAAATTGGTGTGTTTTGTCTTCGTACGGCTTGCGTCACGATCTCATCACGGCTTTTATTTTCTGAAGGCCTAAATAGAGGAAAATATTATTAAAAAATTAGAAAAGAAGTATCGTACGAAATTTGCCAACCATTATGTTATATAATAAACCAAAGTATTAGTAAAGGTATATTTCCTGACGCCTTGAAGAAGTCTATAATTAAACCACTATTTAAAAAACAAGATAGAGAATTAATGCAGTATTATAGACCAATTTCACTTATACCAATTTTCTCCAAAATATTTGAAAAATACATTCAGAAAGAATTATATGCATATTTCGAAAAATATAAGTTATTATGTGATGAGCAAAAAGGCTTTCGCGAAAAGAAAAGTATAGATATGGCAATTTATGACTTTTTATATAAAGTTATGATCAATATAGATAAGAGAAATCCAGTATGTGCAATTTTCTGTGATATGACACAGGCCTTTGATTATGTACATCATGATACCCTATTAAGAAAAATGGAAAGTTATGGTGTTCGAGGAAATATACAGGGTCTTTTAAAGTCATATTTGGAAAATAGAAGGCAAATCACAGTTATTAGTAGACTCAATAACATAAATAAACGAGAGGAAATATATGTGTCAGAGGAACGTCAGGTTACGTATGGCGTTCCACAGGGAAGTGTTCTAGGCCCTCTTTTATTTATAATTTACATAAATGATTTCCCAAAAAGCATAGAACATACCATGACGCTTTTCGCGGATGATAGCACCATAACAATTCCGTGTAATAAAAAAGAACAATATAACGATGACATAAATAATAGTTTAA